CAGGTGGGGGTCGGGGCCGGCGCATTTTGCCCCTCCCGGCCGGGCACGGGCGACTCCGCCGCGATTGCGGGGCCGGGGACGTGGCGCTGGGGAGCCCGGGCTGTGCGAGCCTCGCCCGCCCGCGAGTGGAGTAGCGAGTAATCCTCTCCGGTGTCGGCGGAGCCATCGCACTGCTGTGTGCCTAGCGCGGGCCGTGGCCGAGGAAAGCCGGGAGCTAACGCATTCCTGAGTGGCTTTTGTTGTTTTTTTCCCCTCGCGAACTCATTTTCCGAAGTTTCACCCCCCGGTCGGCAGGGAAAGGCAGCGTGCTGCGGCGTCTCGGCGCCCCGGCCAACCTGCTCCCGACTTGAGCGGGAGTTCGGGCTCCGCGCCGCGTGTGGAGCGATGTGCGTGCGGGGACACGGAGCCGGGGAGGCTGGGACACAGGCTGGGTCGCTAGATTAGTGTCCTAAGGAATCTGAGGAGCAAAAAGCCTTTACCCTGGCATGCACGAGCAGACGTCTTCCTCTCTCTCCGCTCCCAACATCACAAAAAACATATTCTGTTCCTAGGAATTAAAATATTCAGGGGTAGCAAGTTTAAAAAGCAAACAAACAGATGTGCCATGTATTTTGACAACTAGTGTGTTCACTTGCTGTCAATTCAGACAACTGCTTGATAAGAAATTTAATACAGTTCTATTTCCTATCTATACGTTTCACAATCTGCAGCTCTTACAGGTAGGCTTGGCGGAACCTATTTGGATGAAATTACTTCTTGCACAGTCAAGAGTGTGCAAGATGAGAAACAGTGGGTGGGAGAGTAAAACAAGGAATAGGTAGAAATTAAAATCCCTATTTGCCTCCTATGTGATTCTTCCTGATACCTGCAGGAAGAGATGCTGCAGCCAAAACTGCATTTTTGACCTGTGAAGTTATTAAAAATACCTGATCTGTAATTCTGCATTTTGGTTGAAATTGATGAAGGGATTATACTTGGATGGTATGTGCAACTCTGACTGAACACTTGTACTGTATGTTAATTTCCTACATCACTGATTTCTCTGCTAACTGAAAACTATAAAGGATCTCTAACAATATTTCCTGGTTTCATTTGTGGCTAACTCTTTCAGCAGGGCAGTCTGAAGGATACTGAGTAGTTTGATTTTCCATGAAGGCACCTGTAATGAAAATGTCTGTCAGTTTGTGCTCGTGTAGCAGCCTATATCAGTTTTCTGTAGCACAGAGAGAGCTGCTATGAAGCTTTCATGTTGTATTCCAGTACTGTGAGTGGTGAAAGGGAGGGAGGGAGGATGCTTTCTTGCATGCACTGGGACATGTCGTTTGTGTTACATTTGAGTTAAGTAATGCAAGGTTAGATCATCCTCACCCAAGGTGATCAAATCCTTAGCCCAGCAAACGAGCTGGAGCAACTAAGCTCAAATGATCCACTAGCCCGTTTTCCAGTGCTCTCCGTGAATTTGCTAAATGAGTAACAGCAGACAGAAAGGCAAAAGACTGAGTGTCGGGAAACCAGCTGAGGAATCTCAGTGAGGAAAGGAATAAAGACCTTTTGCCTGTGTTCTGGGTTTTTTCCTAGACCACTGGTACTCATCTGGGTACAGGCTGCGGGTGGCAGAGCGCTGGCTGGTCCCACAGTGCTGGTTCCCCTTCTCCCAGCTGTTACAGCCACGCTGTGAGTTCCTCTGCTGCCCCTCTGCCCTGTGAGGTGGTGCCCTCATGGCTGTGGGAGGGGGGGCGTTTGAGCAAGAAGGGAGGTGGCACATCCGAAATCTGTGTTGGATCACCGGTAAGGCTGTAACAGAGTTCGAGAGCAACAGGGCTGCTCGCTAAGCAGCGCTTTCTGACCGGCTCTGCGGGCTAGCAAGGCATCCTGTGAGACCTAGTGAACTGGGTGAAGTTGTAATGTATTGTGAGGGCCAGGCAAGAGTGATGGAGTAATTTTTTTTCTGAAGGATGTGGAGTCCACTGCCAGAGCATAATACTGGACTAGGCTAGACCAGTTCTGGTCTGTCAGTCCTGTGCCACTGCATAGGAAATAGCCACTCTCCCTAACAAAACTAACTTTACATGTATTTTCTACCTTCCTGTTTTCCCACGGTCTCCTTTGATCTTCTGGTTCCTCCTTTATATGCCTGTCTTTCTTAAATGTGCTTAGATAGCTGGCTTCCGTGTCTTCTCATGGTAACACATTCCATACATTCGCATCTGCTTGAGGGAAACACTCCCCGTCCACCCACACACATAACAGTGCTCCGGGCCAAATTCTGATCGCTTCTGTGTCAATACAAACCTGAGCAGCTTCACCAGCTCTGGCCCTGCTGCTTTGGGGTCACAATGGTGTAGCTCTGGGTACAGTGTGGTCCTTTGGCTGGACCGAAGGGTCCTCCAGGCGGCTCATTCAGCACACACCCACATCACGCGACAGAAATATCTGTTCTCTAAACACTTCTGCTCCTCTGTGAGGTATGCTGTGGAATAGGCTTTGCTTTCATGGATTTTGAAAATTGTAGAGAAGCTTTCTGTAATGCAGGAGAACAGTGTATGCCGAATAACAGAACATAATTGATTCTTTCTCATATCCAACCTCTTTACAAATGCATACAATGGAGCAAGCGTGATGATTTCTTAGCAGCACAAGAACACTGTAGCTTAAATCCAGGCCTGGGGAAAAGAGGGAGGTGTGGTAGCGTGTTGAACAGATGCAGTTAGCACTGCTGGATCACTGACACGGTGAAGCTCCTGGCGTTTCTGTGCGTCTCTGCTTGGGCACTGCTCTGCAGAACATCACCCTGCTGTTAGAGGAGTTGAAAAGATCCCCATGCACACACTGAACCACCACTTTTCTCCAGCAATTGTGCTTTCAGTGCTTGCATTTGCCTATCGCTTAGCAGACGTAGTAGAGCAGTGCTGAGACTAACACACTCCTCTGCAGCATGTGCTGGTAGGGTATGTAATTCCAGACCACCAACCTAGAGTAATTTGCTGTACTCCAACCCCCCTTCTTCTGGGGGTGGGGCGGAGTAGTATTTTTTTTTTAGGTATGAAATTTACAGGACCTCCAATCAAATTAAAGGTGTCCCAGGGTCAACCTGTGAAACTAAATTGCAGCCTCGAGGGAATGGAAGATCCCGAGATGTTGTGGATCAAGGACGGAGCAGTGGTGCAAAGCGTAGACCAGGTGTACATTCCAGTAGATGAAGAGCACTGGATCGGCTTCCTCAGGTACAACAGATGCAGAGAAAGAAGAATATCATGGAAACTATTGCACAGTTTTCTGCTGTCAGCTATCTCTCTGCAACTGCAGTGCCCTCAGTGGGGCAGAGTCCTTAGGTCTGCAGTTCAGTGTGTGGCAAGGGCATAACTGAGAGCAGAACTGAAGCCACTGAGCACTGAGATTCTATCCAGTAGAACCGTATTGGTTTTCTGACTACTGTGGGGCCAGGTGCTTTGCTAATGCTTGTGATGCTTGAGACGTGACTTCAAGGTGAAAGGATGGTCTTGCTTTGTTTGTTCATCTTGTTCTGCCGTGCAGCAGTATAAATAGGTTTTCTCTCTTGTACTCATCCTGTTCTCTTACTCTCTCTCTCTCGAGCTGTCAGTCTGCCCAAAAGGTGAGGATTGTTGATAGAAATGAGACTCCCAGGACTACATCCCCTTCACTTTCTTTGGGGAGGAGTGTTTGTCCTCTGAACCATCCCTGATTCATTTTGCAATGAATCCTGATCTATTCCTAATACATTTACACTACGTGATAGCAGTTCTGCCCCACTCAGAGGCATAAAACTCTTACGCAAAGCAGATCTCTGTACCTTTATTTCAGCAGAAGAGGAATGTCAGCTAGTTCTGGAAGTACTGAGATAAACAAGACCCAAGGTTCTGCTCTATTTTATGCATTAAAAGAGCTTGTACAGACAAATATACCAATACCACAAGAGCTCAAAACTATTGAGTGACTGAGAATCACTCTTCCCAGAGCTCTGGCTTCATCTCCTACTATGTTTCTTGGATTGACATTGCACAGTCTCCAATCCCACCAACTAAAAGTCTTTGTGTTAAAGCTTGTCGGTAAGAAACATTTTGGTTGGAAAAAATATCTGTGCACAGTAAAACTATTGCATAACATTATGTTGTGGAAACAGTTTGTCTTGAAACTATACTGTTTACTTCCCCCCAGTTCCGCTAGCTAACTCTGTCCTTCACAATCTCATTCTGATCTCCTTTCTTGCCTCTTGTTTTACTCTGCTGAGAACTCTCTGCAGCACCAGAGATAAGTTAGGGTGCTAAATCTGGATGTATCTGAATCTTTCTCTCCTTTTTCCTTTCTTCTCCTAAAGAGATCATTTCTACCACCCACGTGTGACTCTCTGCTGTGATCACTGTGTTTCAGAACTTGGGCAGGACAGCTGATGCCATTTGAAGGTCCAGCTCTGAAAATCGGGCTGTAGTGGGTCCCTTTTGCGCATTCCGGCAAACACTCTCCCCTTTCTGTCTTCCTTCCTGGGACGTCCTTCCCCTTCTCCGAGGAGGACTGCTAGCGTTAGAAAGGTGGGCATCAGCTCTGCGGAGGATCCCTGCATGGCAGCAGACGCACGGCCGCGCGTCCGGCGGGGAGCAGTCAGCGCTGGTGCACTGACGGGCTCTCAGAGTCACACTGTTGCCTTTGGTGACCGAGACCTTGCTGCTCTGGGACCAAAGTCTGCCCTTGCTCACCATGCACCAGCATAACCCCTTGAAATCACAAACGGGGAGGCCCGAGGAGTTTTGCAGAGCGAGCCACTCTTGGGATCAGGATAGCGCCGAGCGCAGTTGAGGCGAGGGGGACCCTTTTCTGACCCATCTGCTCCTGTGTGAGGCTGTTGCCAGTCCTGTCACCTGAGGCAAAGCAGTCGAGCTCGCTGGAGGTTTGCAATGTGGAGTTTCCTGCTAGCTCAGATGCTGTAGGCCAAGCTGTCGCACTTGAAGGCTAGCTAGAGTTCAAGATTCAGGATGGAGATGACCCTTTCCTATCCTCAGAGGACACAGATGCCTGGTTTTCTGCGAGGATATTTTTGGAGGAAGACTGTCTGCTCTGCAAGGACTCTCTCCACCCACTTTAGAGAGGAGCCTCCCATCTCTGCTGTTTTGCCATGTGCTTTGTGCTGGCTGGCTGTTGATCTCCTCCCCGGAGCTGGCTGTGTCTCGGTGTTTTCCATGCATCTGGTTTGCCAAACACTGGAGGGTCCTTTGGGGCAAAAACATGCTTTATCCACATAAAATATCGATATGGCTTTTGACTTTTTTCAGCTTGAAATCCGTCGAGCGGACAGATTCTGGGAAGTACTGGTGCCAGGTTGAGAACGGGGGGAAGAAGGAAGAATCACAACAAGTGTGGCTCATAGTGGAAGGTAAGGAGGAGTAGTAGTGCTGGTTTCCTTTCAGGGCTGACCCACCAATATGCTCTAGGTCGAAGTGGTGAGAGCAGATTGCTCCAGCGACAGGCTTCTTGGCTCTGAACCATTGCTGCTAACTGCAGGGAAATCACTACAGAGCAGGAGTAAGAACTAGGAGAGCCGCTTCAAAGAGCAGAGCTGTCAGTTCATTGCCTTCTGGTTTTATTTTGGCATGTTAGGAAACAAGATCTTTTTGTGCAAGCGCATTTCTTTCCTCTTAGCTTTTAAGCCCATTGTTGCGATCATCTCTAAATAATTCATAGAATGGCGAATAGTTCGGCTCGAGAGGAATCCATGGGGCTCATCTGGTCCAACCCACTTCTCTAAGCAGGGTCACAGTCTGTTCCTGTGTGTCAGCCAAACAGGTCTTTGTGGGCAAGGTGCAGTTTTAACCCCGCTGTGAGTTTTGAGAGAAGTGCTGTACATCAGCACTTCATAGCTGTGACTGTTCCATGCGGAACTTTTCTGTCCGGGGTTGTCTGATAAGAATGGCTTCTACGTGGCTGCTCAAAATTCACCCAAGGCAGCGTGGATCTTACTTTCTCTGGTTTCATTTCCCTTGAGCCACAATTCTGTTAGATCCTCAGAAGCTAGTGGTCATAGGATGGCTTAATACTTGGTGAAGAAGTTGACAGGAGCAATGCATTTGCAGCCAGAAGTAGTTTTTTGGATGTATTTGGTAACATTTTGGGCCAGAATTGACAGTCCTAAACAGGGGGGAGCAGGGAGGGTGTAGTGGGAGGTGATGTGGTCTGGGTGTTTTACAGCAAAGGTCTCGCTCGCTCAGAGCATGGAAACGTTCATAGCAGCTCTCACAAGAAGAGTAACACATTCTGCCTTCCATAAATCCCAGGCTTTTGTCCACCTAAGCTTTCAGGTATAGTTTCAACTGGAAAACGTTGTTTACTGCTTAAAACACTCCCTTGTGCAGAGTTTTTATTTCTATCCAATTACCATGGCCTGCTCCAGAGGTGGCTGTATTTGCATGGTGGGTGCATTAGGAGTGATTGGGCAGCTCAGCATGCTAAGCTGTCAGAAAAAACCATGCTGCCCTTCTAGACTGCACAGGCAAAAAGTATCAAAGTCACAAAAAACTTTGATGCTTTGCAGTTAGGTGAGGTGAAGTGTGTTGAGAATGAAGGCCAAAGCTTACAGCCGAAGTAAAAAAAAATGCAACTAGTTGCCTTTATGAGAAAAACAAGTATGGTAGTTACAAGAAGGTAGTTAAACTTGAACTGGGAATGTGGTCATGTGTAAAGGGAGTTGGTGGATAAAATTAAAAATTAACAAGTAGTGATAAGGGGTGGAGTTTAAAAAATGTGTCAGCTCTTAGCATAAGAAAACACCTGGGAATGCAAAAGCCTATCAGACCTACCTTTGCTGTTATCTCTGTATTTCTTCCCTGGACGTGCCAGCTTTGTGTGGCAGTGGTTGCTCTATTGATAACAACTGTCCTCTTGACTGAGAGAGGATCTTTGGCGATTTGCAGCTTTCAGTAGGTGCTGACACACTTCAGTGTGGCACACAAACAAGTGTGGACTGTTGGTGATCTAACTTAAAGTGAGTTTGACTGGATTTCTGTGCTGTATAATATCTGCTTAGGTAGTCTGTATCTGCCAGGTTTTCTAGCTATGGTATTTGAACTGCCTTTGTAATAAAAATGTTTGATCTTATGAAACACTTCTTATAATTTACAAAACTAAAACTGTTTTGAACCTGTTTCCTGGCTTAGAAACCAGTCTCTGGCCTTCTTGAGAACATGACGGTGTTTGCTGCCTGGAGAGGTGATCTCGGAGGCACACTGTGGAGCATTAAAAAATGGATTGTGTTTCTTACAGAACTTTCCATCTGAAATTACACCTTGACTGTGTGGCTGTTCCTGGGGCTGCTAGCCCCCATTGTGGCTAGTCAGAGACCAAGCCACACCCGTGTGGACACATTTCCTTGAATCAACGTTGTCTCAAAACCGAGCTGTACATAAAAATCAGCTTTAAAGGTTGGACACTGGCTTGGAAGGGGGAATAGGTGGGATTATTTCCTCGTTTTGCTGCTGATTTCCTGTCTGCTGGCTGCTCAGTGCCTCCATGGGGCATCTTTGAAAGTGCTGACACTCACCTCTTCCTTGTACCAGGAACTGGGAGGCCAAACGTGTCACAGGCAGTGAGCTGCCCAGGTAACACTGACAGGGGCAGTGCGAGTTCCTCAGCTGGATGAGTCAGCTGCACTCCCTCAACTATGAAAGTTTTTAATTGTGGTCTTGTCTGCTCTGTTTAGCTGCTCCCAAAGTGAGAAAACCTGCCGAGCTGGGCAGGATCTTCCTGAAAGTTTACCTTGGGTGTCATGACAAATGGACAGGAGGCAGGGATCCTGCTCACAGGTAGAGAAACGGTGATTATTTTCCCTTCTAATCGTCATTGGAGAAGGAGAGCAAAGCAGGCAGAGGTGTTGCAGCTGGTATCTCAAAAGCTTACTCATTTTTATTGTTTATGTATGAATGCAATAAAAAAATGAAGTATAATATGTCAGCAACAACAAGCAGTATGCCGTGACGATGGATATACCTGTCCTGAACATTACCCTTTGCACAGATAGGCACTGTCATTCCTCAAGGCACTTGGGTTTAGACCTGGTTTAGTCTGTTCATTTACTTCTCTAAGGGAAGGAGGCAAGGAACAAAGGAACTGCTGCCTGAAAGACATAAACAGTGACTGGACAGTCAGTCAGTGAAAGACTGAGGAGAGCACTTTTGGCTGTAGCTTGGGGGAAATGTCAAGTGTTAGGCTTCTAAATCCCTGTTTAAGCACCGGTATTAATTGACTTCTGTTGGAGGTGCTTGAGCCTGTCATCTTTGGCCAGGGACAGACAGTGCAAGTTCAGCATGTGAATGCACAATGTTGTCAGTTCCTCTGTTTCTGTGGGGCAACAGATCATCAGCTTCCAGAGCATGCTTTTTGCAGCTGAGAATACCTTATTTTGATTGGGGTAAGTGCTCTTGGTATCAGCAGTGTTTGACACACAAAGATTTCTGTATAGAAGGGAACTGAACATTTCTCTGGGCCTTCAGCTATTCCACCAACCACCAGAAATACAAACTGGCTGTCCTGCATGGTCAGCACTGCTGCTGATGGCAGGCGAAATTTGTGCTGCTGGTTTGGAGCACTGAAACCACGAGAGTTTTGGCATTGCCCATAAGAGTAACCACATCACTTGATGTGTTGAACTACACTGCTATTGCCACTTAGGGATGACCTAAGGTAGGTAGCATTGCAGCTGCCCTTTGGTCCCTGTGGGCCTAATCTGAGACCTGTTGTACCAACCAGGAGTCTTTCTATGGTGGGGAACAGATAATTACCAAGAGAGCTGTGTCCGTGGATAGCCTTCAGCTTTGAAACAAATTACCCCTGACTCCAGGGCAGCCTGGTTGTCGTGGTGTCAGAGTGTGCTGGAAGGCATCTCCATTCAATTAAGCTCCAGAGAGAGCATTGTAAATGCTCCCAGTCTCTCACCGCGGGGACTCTTTCCTCATTCATGGGTTTGTTAAAGCCGGTAGTGCAACACTTTCTCAAGCTTCAGTTTTTAATGCATGGCAAGAAGTATCTGCAGCTGGATTAGCTGTCTTTTAAAGTGGTGTCTGCCACCACTAAAGTTATTGACTGTTGCCTCTTTAAACTCCAATCTCTCCTGATGAAAAATTGAGAAAATGCTACCACTAAAAGCTGTTTCATAGGGGAGTCTTGAATTGAAAGTGGTTTTTCAAAGGCATTGTGGGGAGCAAGCACTTTTTCTCTCTGACTTCTAATAGTAGTAGCATTTAGGCATTCATGCCCTGAGGTGATCCAGCATATCTGACCTTTGGTTTTTATGAAGGGCTTAGAGGGCGTCGGATTCAGGCTAGCAGCAGGACAGATGGATGTCCAGTGTTGGGCACTGATATTAGTGGAAATAAACAAGAGGCAGTTACTCCAGTTATTGTCACTTGTCTGTTGCTTTTCCAGGTGTGCCCTACTTTACTGTGGAACCTGAGGATGTGTCTGTGTCTCCTAATGCCCCATTTCATATGGCCTGTGCTGCTGTTGGTCCCCCTGAACCAGTGACCATTGTCTGGTGGATGGGAGACTCTAGAGTGGGGCTTCCAGACGTCTCCCCCTCCATCTTAAATGTGTCAGGTAAGGCTGCTGCAGCTGCAGGGGATCACTTTGAGCATCAGAAGAGGAGAAGAGCTCTCTTCTGATCCTGCCCTGTACATTGGGTAGCCACTCATGGGAATGGTGTTTAACTCTGATTAAGGGTTCAGTGGTCATAATCACATACAAAGATTATCTCGAGGGGTGATGTTTGCCCAATGTTTTCTGCTGGCTTGAGGCACACAGGCTCTTACAGAGTTTGGCACTCTTGTTAAAGATGCCATTGAGCAGATGATGCGTTGGGTGCCTCTTGTTCCACCTCGTGGAGGGTGTTCATGGTTATGGAAGTGACTCTGTAGGTGCCCTTTCTCTTGGAGCTCTCCAAGCACTCGCATGCAACAGACACCATCCCCTCCTTCTGTGCACAGCCCTGTCACACACTGCTTTCCTCTCTCTTACCCACCCTATCTCTTGCAGGCTTGCTGGATGCTCTAATCATGAAAATCTGACTGCCTCATGTAATTGTTTGACACTTGAAGAGTGATTGAATCAGTGCTCAGGTGGGCTGGTTGATCCCTTCAAGACCACTGTTTGCCCCAGAGCAGAGCTTTTCCCAGCAGGGCCAACAGAAAAACTCAGGAGCCAGTAGGTATTAGGGCCTCTCTTCAGACCACTTTCAGAAAGGGTGATGTATCTCTACCAGGAACTGACTGCAGCTATTCTTGCAGTTACCTCTTAAAAGTGACTTTATTCTAGTTAGTTGTCCAACAGCCTTGTGTTATGTTTTCTCTTTGCTGTTGTTTCATTATTCTCAGCAGCCCTGACCCAAAGTTTAACTAGTTATCTAGAAATAAAAGAACTAAACTCTTTACAGCTAAGAGTCGTCTCTATGCCCTTTTTATCAGTATTAATACAGTTACACCCAGGCTGAGTTTTTATATGTCTTTGACCATCCTTTGAACAATCCAATCCTATTCAGGCTTTCCTTAGAACTTTATTTATTCACAAATCAAAATCTGATTTGTGATTTTAAATGTTTTTAATCATCTGCTCCCTCTCTTGCGTAGACACCGATGCTGTTCTAAGTTGGAAATGAAAACTGCTCCCTTATGACATAATCTTCCTGTTGAAATGGAAACTGAAAAGACGGATAGTCAAGAGGGGAAAGACAATAAAAAAAATGTCACCCTTCCTCCACTAAACTCATGCCACAGTGCCTCACAAATATCTGTTGTTGGGGGACAGTGGCTTGGAAGCCTGAAAAAGAGACATCTGCTCCTAGTGATTCTCCAGATGAATTGCTATTTTATTTATTAAGTGTCATCAGCACCTCTATTTGCTTCCAGTGTTCTTTGGGATGCCCCTTGGGCACACCCTCTTTCAGTGCACGTTGGGGTGCCCCTTGGGCATATCTTGTCTTTGCAACTTAAGATATGTAGCAGGACACAACCTGCATGGCTGGATTGCCAAAGCATGTCAAAAAAGACACTTGGTAAGAAAACAAGCATTGCTAGCTGAGGAAAGTATCGTGCTCTGAAGAAAATAGTAACTAAGTACTTGGCTAGAAAGCAAGCATTTAGAAGGTTCAGCAGTGTTGTATTTGGAAAGCAGTTGCTGGCATGGTGCTAGGGAACACGCAGTTCCCGATTTGTGGTGTATTTTGTATTTTCCTCAGGGCAGGGCTGTGTTGGGCTCTGTCTTGGGACAGGCCTACCACATCAGGTGCTGCTCTGCTGTGCTGCCTGGTCTTCAGCCTGCTGGCAGCATCTTCCTCTGGTTCACAGGGATGAGAATAGCACTCCCTCCTCTCTTCCATTTCACCTTCTTTGCAATGCTGTTAGTCGCAGGCTTGAGAGGTGAGTCAAAGGTCAGAGACACTGTGCAAGCTACTCTGAGCAGCTCTGAAATGTTTTTCCTTCCTAGATTGTATGCCCACAGTGAGCCAGTCTTTACCTTTTCTCAGGTAGAGCCTTTTAAGGCAACTGAGGGCCAAGACACATGACAGTAGTTGCTGGACACAGTTCTCCAGGCAGCCTTGCAAACCTATCTCAATTCTGATTCATTTGCCATATTTATATGCATCCTGGAACAGCCAGACATCAGTATGATGATGGATGGATGGATGGATGGATGGATGGATGGATGGATGGATGGATGGATGTTCATAGAAGACATTCTTACTTTTATCACCCTTGGAAAGTGTTTCAGTGCTGATGCAGTAGCATTTAACTTGCAGATCCTTTGTGTGTCTTCAGAAGTCTGATGCAAGGTGAGGAACAGGTGGGCATTGACTAGAAATTGGCAGCATCTGATTAAAAGTTTGCCTAGGCTTACAGCCCAGTTAGAAGATGAATGTTGCTCAGGTGTAGGCTGAGGCCCAAAGCGTTGGGCTTTGTGTGAGCTCACAGTTCAGCACAATCCTTGCTCCAAAGATGCTCACCAGAATGTGGGAAGCAGGCATGTACTACCTGAGCATTATGAGCTGCTGTTCTGACAGATTGTTCCTTCCTTTTCAGTGCTTTCTGACACTTCCATGAGAGCTTTTCTACATTGCCACACTCCCTCCATTAAAAATGCGTTTAGCACATTAGTCACATTGAAATCTGCATGCCTTTGATTGGCACCCAGCTCACCCCTCCAACTGCCTGTACAACTTGAGCTGGATGTCACAAACAATTTAAATTCTGCTGAAGGTTGAAGCTGGATTATATAGCTATTTGTGTTTCCTTTCCTTTTCTTGGCTGATCTCCAGGTATTAATCAAAGCACAGTTTTCTCCTGTGAAGCTCACAACATAAAGGGATTGTCTTCATCTCGGACCGCCACTGTTCAAATTAAAGGTGAGAGACTGGGTGCAAGAGGCTGGGCAAGGGCCTCGGATTTGCTCTCTGGGGAGGGAAGGTAGGGCTCCTTAATGCAAGGAACTGCCTCAAAGCTGCCAGCACCGGCTGGAGCTCTCAGCAGTCGAAACAATGCTTTGTGTTCTAACAGCAGTTCCCACTTCCTATGCAGGGCCATGTCCCAGGCTGTTGAAAATAATCCACATCTGATTCAGGAGTGGAAATGTGATGTCAAATGACAGCTTTTCCTTGAAAAGGAGAGAGCTGGGGCGATTAAGTTGTTTGTGAGAGATGAAGCTGGTATAAATTTGTAGCAGGGAAGTCTTTCCCTCTTGGCAATAGATGGGTCTTGTAGAGCAAAAGAGGCCATTACTTCTGCTTGCTTTTATTGGCATCACATTAGATCCTGAAAAAAAAGTCAAGGAAGGTGATCACCAGTGGTCAGTAAGGTCTGCTCATCCACACTGTGTTTATGAATTTTATTTTTTAAATTCTCTGCTCTTTAAAAGCTCATTGAAAACAAATAATTCCTAGCCTGTGCATGACAAGTTGCCATTTGGAAGTCTCCAGGCTGAAACAGGGATAGTCAGAGCAATCAGCTCTTCCCCTCTTCTTCATGTTGAGATGGTTCTGTATTAGAATTTTTAGTCATGCTTTAATGCACTTTTAATTACATGATCATCCATTCCAGGAGAGGCATGGCACAAAAATAATTTGTTCCGAGTGGTAGCTTATTGCTCAGCACAAATGCAAGCAATCCTTTATGTCTGTGTCAGTATCAGAACTCACAGTTGTAGTAGCTAGTGTTCATTAAAGGAGAGGTCAAAATCCAGCTGTAATCTACTGCTCTTGGAGTGTGTTTTTGTTCAGGACATTGTGGTTATTGCTATGCCAAGAATGCAGTACCTTGGACTAGTAAGATTTATAACTTAATTTAAAACTATTTGGAGTTGTTGCCTTAAAGGCTTGTGTACACAGAGGAGTTAGTTATTGTAGAATATATCTTGTATGGATATTTTATCCTGGGATAGAATTTAGTTCACAAGCTATTACACTTTAAAATATCTTGTCAAGCCATAATTTGAAAAGCCATTTAGCATAAACAAGTTTTTAAAGTTGTTTATGTTAATAGAGATTATTATTTTTTTAACCATTAATAAGATGAAGAGGTAAAGACCTCAGAATTGTTCCATTTCCCAGCAATTATGTTTAGCTGGAAAGTGTTCCTCAGGGGTCATCAGCTAATGAATCCACACAGCCTATTTAGGAGGGAGATATTGCCATCACACACTTGTGTCACATACACACACACGTTCTGGAGCTGAGAAAGAGTAAGCTTAAGTCACTCAACTAGCATTGCACCAGTATGTGGCATGTCCTAGAGAAAAAACTCAGGTTTTGTATAGCAAGTCCAGTGCTGTAGTCATAAAAGCTGTCTGTAATACCTCACAGATATGTCTAAAAAAGTAGTTATAAATTTGCCTAAATGATGAGGCTTTTCTAAATAGAAAAACTTTGAAGATCTAGCATAGCCCTGTTAAAATTCAAGCAAAGCTCCTACACAGCAGAAATAGGGCAGGCCCAAATAATGTTTATTTAGTTCTTGATCCTATGAATGTGCAGAATTCAGCGAAGTTACTCCTGGGAGTAGTTGTCTGCACATGCATGTTCAGGGCCTTCCTCTCTTACACAAACCCATCTGCTAATGCAGGCTCTTAAATCTTTCTACAATTTATTAAACAATTAGTTTCTTCTGTGTTTCCAGAGGCAAATATTTTTGCTAGGACATTTACAAACTGTTAACGTTTCTTCCTATTTTCTCCTCTTGTTGTTCATTATCCTGTGTAGTGCCCACAATGTGCTGGGTGTACTCCAAGCAGAAAATTACTGTTATTGTAGCCCACAGTCCCCAGCCATTACAAAGCCCCATTGTTCAGCCACTCTCTAAGCACAGGGGAAGTTAACTCTCATTATGTTAACACTCAAGGTCCTGCTTTCTGACAGGCTTTTCTCTTCTTTATGTGTGCAGCTAACACTTTTAGGGTTGTATCCCGTGTTTTGGAGCACAACAGGAAACAGCCGCCCACAGTTTTTTCCCCAAGAGATGACTGGAAAACACATCTGGCCCTGGCTTGCAGAGTTAGGGGAAGGTGCTAACAAACCAGCCCTCCTCAGCCACTGTCTCCTTTCCACACAGGCTGTGTTAGCAGTTGATGATTTGTTCTCACTGGTGGCACAGGACATACCTCCTTCGGTCCTACCATCCTGTGTTGGAAAGTACACCTTGCTAAACTCAAAAATTACAAGTGTGTCTGCAAAAGCTTGGGTTATGGACAATGTTTCCACAATACCCAGCAAGCAGTGAAAGCGGGATTTTTTTTCCCTTTAAAGAACTTACAGACCTGAACAGAAAACATCAAAAGAGGATGAAACAAAGATGCAGGAAAGTCTTAACTAAAGAAAGAACTAAAAAAGAAACTAAAGAAGAGCTCATTGCCCAGCTTCCACCCCAGACCCTTGGTCTGCTGCCGTGCCCCCCACCCACACACCCTGTTCTTATCTCTAGGTGGCAGGCCCTGCCCTGGGTCCTGGTAACTGGTTAACCAGACAACAAAGGCTTTATAGGGTTAATCTGTGTCACCATCTATTCCTCTCCTTCAGGCCCTCTGCAGAGACCCCGAGTGTTTGGGCTCTGCATTTCTCTTGCAAGATGGCCCTGTGGATATGCTGATGGCAGCAGTATTGTGGTTGTCCTTGGTGCAGTGAAATACAAAGGTGCTCTGGCAGGGTAGGAATCCTGGCTCGAAATTACTCTTTTATTACTGCTTCCCAATGGCTACAACTCAGGAGACATGGAAAATTCAATCTGCAGGCAGACCCTTGTCCTGAGGATGGGTTTGTGAAAGAGGACTCCTGAGGGTACAATTTGTTGAGGTGCTGTGGGAAAGCTACTACAAGCATCGGCATACAATTTTTCAAAATGAGAAGAAGGTCAAGGGAGAGGTTAGTATTCATGAAGCTGCTAATTTTGGCAGGAGTGAAGTGCCCAAATGAAAACTCAGAGGTGAAAAAGGGATGGTGACCGGAAGGATAGGAATTAATTATGTGGAATTACAGTGAGAGGAAAGGAGAAGTCAAAGGGAAACATCAAGGATCCTAAAAGGAAGCCAAGCAGTTTGGTGCTGTGCTGCAGTGATAGGAAGCACCAGCATCTGATTAACTGTCCAGTCTTGGAATCCTGATTTTGTTCCTGTCCCTGCCCTTAATTTGTGAAGTGGTATCATCCATGTGTGGCAGGCACTCCCTTTGGCTTGAATTTCCCCTCTGTAAAACAGAGTTTATTCATCCCAAGCCTGAGGAGGCAGTTTTCAGTCCAGGCTCTGTCCCAGGGTGTTTCAGTGGGAGTTTGCAATGGACACCTGGAGGCAGAACAAAGAGGTCTACTGCAAATCCAGCTCCAGCGTATTCAGGTCACTACAGCAAACCACCCTCCACCCAGTGCTGGCAGAGCTGGTGTCAAAAGCTGGACTGAGAACCTGAGGTGGGATTTTAAAGCCCCGATTTAGTTCACAATATGGGTCCACAGGCAGCTGTGTGCAGGGCTGAGTCATGGCCTGCAATGGAGGGGGCGGGAAAAAGAGCTGAGTAGCAAAGGTGTAAACATCACACGCCGGCATTGCTATCAAAGAGATCAACCACTGCCTGTGTGCATCAATGGACAGTGTGAGAATGGCTGACAATAGCTTGTCCAATGTTAAAATAATAGTTTCATTCACAAGAAGTCAGGGACACTCTCTAAAGATGTGATATTTTACCACATTCCTGTTAGTGATTTCATTGCATAATTTTTAGCCTCAAGCCTCTTCCATTTCCACGTGAATACCTGCTCAGTTCTGTGTACACTGAAAGGTCTCTTTGTTTCCTTTCTAGCCATGCCTCTCCCGCCTCTCAATGTAACTGTAAGCCAAGTCACCAGCAGCAATGCCAGCGTGCTCTGGGTGCCAGGATTTGATGGTCGTGCGCCTCTCCATTCTTGCACTCTCCAGGTATGGCCTCTCTGGGCTGTGCCCTGCCCTGCATGAATAACAGCACTCTCCTGAGCCACAACATTTCCTGGGCCCTCCTTTGCTCTCACATCTTATTAGCAGTGTTTCAATTCCTACTTCACAGCCTTAAAACATAAAAACTTAACAGGAGGCAACTCACAGGTGCCAAAGAGCAGGCCATGAACTTCATGCTCGAAAGTTAAGTGTTAAAGGCTGGCCACAATCTCCTGGCCAGCAGGTTATCAGTGGCTTCGTGGCGGCTGCTCCATCCAGGTTGTTGCACTGCAGCACACAAGAAGCACACAGCACTCTGTGGGAAGTGCCCCGGAGCAGCTGTGGCTGCAGGGTGCTCACCCTTCCTGCATGGAGCACTCTAGCTTGTTCCAGTGCAGGTGCCTGTGAGTCTCACGCCAAATCAGGCCTGTGCTGTGGGATGCCAGAAGAAGGGCAGGAATTTGGACATACTGATGAGTCCAAGGGATGAGGAGCTTGCAAAGTATAGGATTTGGTACAGGAAAGGTAGGAATGATGGAGGCAGGAGACAGGTTGGGCTTTTTGATACAAGAACAGGCCTATTTGCGTGTTTCAGAGCAATTGTTGGCTCTGTCTCTAAATCTTGATTGGATTTCCCTTGTCAAAGACCAGTTCTTCCCAGAAAATCAAGCTTGATAATGTTCTGTAGCTCTGCCAGGTGCAGAGTACCCTGCATCTCTGAAAAACTGGTCTGCTTCTTGAAGTTCCTGAGAGCAATGGTATGTGTCCGACCTCAGGCAGGGTTAGCTTCTATCATTGCATACTTGGCTGTAGAATCAGATCAAAGAACAGGTAACCCAGTGAGAAAATAAATGGTGATACCCAAAGCAGGCTGTGCAAACACAGCTAGACACATTCCCCATGGATTTATTTGCCAGGCCTCTATGCTTTCCCTACCTGATTACAGCAGCATTGTGAGCTGGAGTGGAATTTCTATGCTGTGTTGCCAACTATGCAGAGGAGGATTATAAATTTAAGGTATGCTGGGAGCAGTCTTGCTAAGTTACTTGCAGTCCCCTTTTATTTGGGTTGGAAACCAGAGGTTTCATGCTCTGATGTCTATTATATTTCAGAAGTGAAAGAAATCATCATCTAGTTTAACTCACTGGCAGAAAGAACTTCTGAATGCAGCTGGCCCTGGTTTGTGGGTTTTGTTGCTGCTTCTGTTCTTGTCCACAGTTGAAAATGGTTTTCTTCCTCTGTTTTACAATGCCAGTTATCTCGAGCTGGAACAGCCTATTCTCTCTGGCTTGCACGCTGCAATGCTAATCATTCTGGGGTTTAAGTTCTCCCTCTCACTTTTGGCAGGGGCAGGGGTGGGGGATGGGACACGTGGAAAAGAGGCTGAATCAGAGCAGCCCAGTTTTTTCTGTCAACTCAGCAGTCTCTCACCCCTTTTCTAAGCCTTTTCTGTTCTATTTGGGGAGGATGGAGTTTCTCCATTTGAGTCTGGGAGCGGGATAACTTGGCAATGACCCTGTGCTGTCAGAAAACCATGCTTCCTCTGACTCCCACATTGAGAGGTTCTGTGTGAGGCATTGACCTACATTTCCATGTGAAAATGCACATGTTCCTGGCTCCTCACAACTGCACTTCTGCTGGGAGTCTCCCAGAAATTGAAGGGGGATTGGAAGCTTGGTGTGTTTTTCTGGCCCTCGGGCATTGCGGCGGGTGCCCCAGGAGCCCTGTGTTCAGACAAGCAGATTGCTTCTGGGGACAGGGCAGGGCATGGCAGCGTTTTCTGACTGCTAACACAAGCCAGGTTCCAGGCTGTGAAAGGGGCAGAAGCACGAGCACCAGCTCTTGGGAGTGTTGAACAGAAACACATCATCCAGCAGACAGGGTTTTGCAGAATAGTTGTCTTGTGTTTCTCCGTCCTGTGGATGACGCTGATAATGACAACGATATGCTTTTCTCCTCAGGAAACTTGAGAGTCTTTCTTTCTACCAGCCAAACAAATCAGTGTGCCAAAAGTGTATGTGAGAGTGAGCAGAAGGACAGTGAGAAAGGAAGAAAGGCTGCCATATAAAATACATGAAGTCCATATGATTGTTTCACTTTTGTCAGTACATCTTGCCTTTACTCTCTGCTTTGCTATTTTGTATGCACTTGAGGAGAAAGTCTGAGCCTGGGAGCTATGCAGTGATTTCTGCTATTGTTAGTACAAAAGTAGGAACATTGTGCATTAAAAGCACACAGTGATACCAGATTTAAATTTACATTCATGCTGCTTTAAAGCTCAGATTTGGAAACAAGAAAAAGAAGAGATGCAGGAGTGGTAAGAAGTTTCTTTTCAGTTTAATTTGAAACAGATTAGTTGAACCAAGCCACCTATGTCTACCATGTCTCTCATCCACTACAAAATTGAAAATACACAAACTTCTGGAAAAAAAGAGTTTGGCAAAAGGTGACAGTAGGCAGCAGGCAAGTTGCTCTACTGGTTTTCATTGCCCAGATTTAAACAGATCTCAGAAGCCGGCTGCTACCACTCAAAGTGACAAGCACATTTAGTTTTCTTTAAAGGAATAATAACCAGCTGTAGAAATTGTAACATAGGGAAGGAAATGTTTTAAAATATGGAACTAAATTTTCATCTGGTGGAAAATTTTTATACTGCCCAAGTGATGTCACTTCATGATTCTTAGTTTGACAACTCCCTTTTCACAATTTTAAGCACCACTGGTGCTATATTCTTACACATTCCTAAACTGACAATTAAATGGGATTCTTATCCATGTGGACAAGTTAGTCATATTGTTAATGGTAACAGTCATCTCTGTTTTACTCTTGGCACAGGTAGCTGAGTCACCAGATGGCCAGGAGGTGTCCACTGAAGTCACCCCAGTGCCACCCTTTTCCTACACCGTGCAAGGCCTGAGGCATTCCACCAACTACAGCGTCCGTGTGCAGTGCAGCAATGAGATGGGCAGCTCCCCTTTCACCGACAGGGTTTATTTCCAGACCCTGGAGCTTGGTAAGAAACAGCAGACAAGAACATGACAGCAGTTCTGAAGCTGGAAAAGAGACAATTGTAGATGTCATTAACTCCTTGCTGATTTTGCAGTACGGAACATGTTACGCTGTTAGATTGCTCACCCACTCTCAGGGTCTCTGGGAACAAAACAATAATACACAGTCAAAAGTGGTTAACAGCAACGATGCATAATACAGGAGTTTACCCAGCCATGCATGCTGGTCCCATTAGCTCTGTGAGATTCTTGGGATCTTGAGAAAAATGAGAGGTGCTGACGTGTCTTCTGCACTTGAAACCGCAGAGTTCTGATGGCTTGCAGAAGTTGTTCTCTCCCTTCACCCTCTCTTTTCTGGATGATCTCAGGAAAGAGGGTGAAACTACCATTTTCAGTGTGGATAGTGCCTTATTTTCCTGCACAAGTGATTGTATATATGTTCTCTGCTTTCAGCTCCAAACAGCACCCCTCAAAATATCCATGTTATTCAAAGAGATCCTGGTCTAATTTTGGAGTGGGAAGGTGTGGCTCCAGATGTGCTGAAAGAAAATGTCCTGGGATACAGACTGGAATGGATTCAGGATAATGTAACTCAGGTAACAGATTGAGACGGTACTGAGCCATTGAACACAGAATTGCTGAAGGTTCATACTAAATTTTCTAGGCATTAAGGTCCCTCATCCACACCAGGGGATTAGATTGCTAACATTGCTTTTGTGTAAGTGGATCTATTTCTGACTTTAGGGAATGCCTCAGTATTTGACTTCAAGATACAGGACCATTTCCTCCTTCCTGGCACATTCAGAATTCCTCACTGGAAGGAATTCCAGTGTCTGTTCAATTGCAGACAGATCAGTTCTCTGCCGTTCTCTTGTACAAGAAGGGCAGCATAGAGAGAATCCACTTTGTCTCCCTCTGTCTCTAGCTAGGGCTGTGCAGCTCAGACAGTGCTGGATGTGGGCTTTCTGTCTCTTGTGACTGGGCCTTGCCTTTCCAAATCCTAGCAGCAAAGGTGTATTTAGCAAGTGAATGAGTTGTGCTGTAAATCACAGAAAGAAGGTTGTGGATTCTTTAGCTTCATTTACAATACTTAGGGAGTTGAAAGGACCCTGACAGAGTAGAAGGCCTTTCATTTGTTCTTTGGCATTGACCTTTCCCAGGTATCTATCAGCCTTTGAAGTTCACAGCATTTCTTATGGTTTCTAGCTTCCTAATAGGTATTTACCCAGTGCTTATTAATGAAGAACAAGCCTGTAATAATAGACAGCTAGAGGGAAAAAAGACTTATTTCCTATTTTGTATGACCCATTTCACACTAGGTCAGTGTCACTGACTTTGAGGGATGGTATTTTGAGTTCTCATTGAATTTACTCTGTGTCAGTGGTGGCAGCCAAATATTCATGGCTTTGCTGTATGAAAAAGATCCATAAAACTACTGAAAATATGTTGGCCTTGCCATCCTAAGTGAAAACTGGTGCTGAAATTCAGAAGCCATTTTGGATTTGGTCAACAAGTTAAAACAGACAGACAGACTTCTCCCTTGGATTAAAACCACCAGATGCTTTACAGTAAACCACAAGAAGGAGGTATATCTTTTAATAGAAGAAAAACCCCATATTTCTATAGCAACGTGCATGGGAGGACCTCAAAGGAAGAAATTATTAAACCTCCTATCTCCCTTATGCCTTGGGAAACTACTAACAATTTTTTGGGAAGAGCAACCCAAGACAGCAGCCCAAATTTCAGGCAAAATTGAGATAAGGACCCAGAAGTCACAATTCCCAGCCCTTGTTATAGCACCAGTGAAGTGCATGTTTGGTACTGTTTTGGTTTAAAGGTGAAGTTTTACATTAGATGCCTTTTAAGACAGCTCACAGTTCGTTGTCATTTGCACTCAGGGGGAGATGATTGTGCAGGACACAAAAGCCAATCTCACCATGTGGAACCCTCTCAAAGACCTGATTATCAGAGTGTGTGTGCTGAACTCTGCAGGGTGTGGGCCCTGGAGTGACCTCTTCCTGCTGGAGGCCCAGGAGGTCATGGGTGAGTGTCCATTATTTTCTCCCTTCACTTTGGGAAAGAAGTCAGAAATACTGGGACTGCTGTTTTTTCTGAGCCTTTTTCTTTCAGTGCTTACTACTTAGACACGTGGGCTCATACAACAGCACACTTCATCAAGGAGACTAGAATTTAATAATCTTTAAAGAGCTGGTATAAACAAAACAGTTTCTGGCTTCTACTGTGTCTTCTTAGAACAGGGTTTTACTGTGTTTAGTGCAGAGCAGAAGAGCAGACACAATATAAAATATGCAAATGAAGGTTTTCACAGATTACCCAAGTAAATGTGACAGAAAACTCCTCTAATACAGGTTGTCTTCTTTGATTTAATTTTATGCTATTCCTGACTAGTTTTAGTGAAGCCAAATTTAAACTGTGGCCACACGGGGATTCTTAATGGTTTTACTGAATGTATTTATATTAAACCAGTTTAGCTGTCTCCATGGAAAAGCTGAGCTACTGGTAAAAGAGGAAGATGATGGTGCAGATGCTGTACCATGCAGTTTGGACCATGGTGCACTCCCAGTGCTCAGGGGCAGTTGGGCTCCCCTGGGGTGATTTGCTTGCTGCTTGTATTGCACAGTGAATGGGAAATGGGAGGGGAAAGGGGATCTTATACTGGGAGATGGATAGAAGGGAGGAAGGAAACTGTGAAGGAAACTGTAACAGAACTAAGAGGAAGACATTCCAGATAAAGATATGGATTGGTGATAAGAAGTCAGTGAGGTTTCCACAGTCTCCTGAGGTTTTGTCTCCAAGTGCCCATGGCAGGACAAGATATCAGTCTCTAATTTCTGATGCTGACCCACCTGCTGCTGCTGTCTTCCCATTCCACATGTCTCTCAGGAATCACACAGACATTGAGCTCTCCTGGTCCCTCCTCACTGAGGGGTGGCAGGGGGACTCCAGAGGGGATCTCCCAAGCAAACAGGACATGGGGGATACAGACAGAGCAACCAGTAGAGAATTGTATCCTTACTTGTGGTAGTGCATTTAATGCTGGTCTTAGCACACACATTACTCAGGTCCTTTGGCAGCCCAGTTCCTGTGACAAAGTCAGCACTGAAGGTCAAGTGTGAGCACACAGTCACTGTGGGATCAAAGCCATCAAATTATTTAAATGAGATTGTAGGGGTGTGAAGGTTCTGAGCTGAACCTACTGAGGTTGGTCAGTGGCTCCATTAATCTTTTCCTCCTACTTTTTGACTGGGTATTTTCTGTGGCATCCAAATAAAGACAAAAGTATCTGAAAGAGCTAGGAGCTCTCTCTGGAAAATGGCCATCACTGGCAAGAAGCACCAGGGAAAGTTTAGGGTTTGCATTTTACAGGGAGCTGGAATTGGGTAATCCTGAAAGCACTATAGGTTGTTGCTTGATTGTTTTGACTTACAAACCACTTCAAAAAAAAGTAGCATCAGGAGTGGTGCTTGTTTTGGCCAAATGCTGTCTGGAAGCACATATATTTCTTCATGAGCATAACAGGCTGGAAGTAAAAGTTCACTGTGGAAACACTGACATGCCTTAAGCAGCAGAGCTGCAGAAAGACTGCAGTTTTGTTTCAGGCCTGGTAGAAAACATAAGTCGCTTCCTTTCCTAAAATAGCAAACTGGCACTGGTTGCTGTATGTGAGAAATGCCAGGGGTGGTTTCTGACCAGCTCCCAGTGCGGCAATAAGGATGACTAAGCTCGTATAAACTTTAAGTCGAATTTGTCATCACAGCAAAGCTAGTGGGAGCTCCACCCTACTTATGCAAAGATCTTCTGAGCTATTAACAAAGACTGTTCTAATGTTTTCAGAAACTTTTTCAGTAGAAGCCTCTTTTTTTTTTCATTGCAGAGCAAGGAACAGAGTGGTTTAATAGCTTTTTCCCATCTGTAATCTTCATGATTGTAGGCAGGAGAGGACTCTTGGATTATGTTCTTTGCAGACCTTTGAGATACAAACTTTCTGTGAAATAAAAGGGCTCATCTTCAAAGGGCTCCTAAATACTCTTCTAAACTCTTCTATTAATACCGTCTTCTCTCTGCCTTGTGAAGTCTTAAGGCATATGCTGGTTGAAAAAGTGGGTACAGGGGATAGGAGAGAGACAGAGTTGAGAGAGGAGAGGCAGCTTGTGGGCTGCAGCCTCCTCTCAAGCTCATTGACACGAGTGGGAAGCAACAATGTGTGGGGCAGAGGAGGAGAAGCTGTGGATTTCAACATTCATTTCTATTTCTAACACATTTGCTATAAACTGTGGGATGGGCTCCTGATTCCCAGCAGTTTAGAAACAGGGAGTATAACTTAGTTGAGTTTTTTCATCCTCATCCATACTTCTTTTGGAGGGGCTCACCAGAAGTTGACCTAAATCCCTGCTTTCTCACCAGAGCAGTCAACAGAGACTAGAAAAATAAGCTGAGAGAGGTCTGTCTCATCTGAGGGAGACGGAAACCTTTTTGTTACCTATCATAGAAGATCTTTTATATCACTGTTGACCCTGATAGGTAGGCAGAAACAGCCCAAGTGATTGGCTTGGGAATTGTGGAGAGGGTTGGAGTTATCTCTATTGAATTTGAGAAATACAGCTTCTGTTTCTGATCTCTCCCTCCTCATAAAGGGCCTTGAAGGCTGGGCTGAAAATTGCAGCAAGAGGGAGTATCATAAGCCCCAGAGCCTGTAAAGCCTTCTGGGTGGTAAAAGAATATGTGAGTCACTGAAGAAGATAAGATGCTGGAAAATAAGTAACAAGGATCTGATGATTTGATTCAAGTGGAGAAGTACTAGTCTGCTTTTCCCTTTGTCCACAATTCTGTGTCCTTAAGCTCTACCTGTTTCTTAGACTAATATCACTTCTTTAAAATCCTGGATGATAAGGCTCCTCAATGTAGCTGTTAATCAAGCCTCAGAAGCCCCTTGCTTGCCAAGGCTCTGCTAGTAAGGGTTGTTTGACTCCTTTTCCATATGCATCTATGCAGAGATCCATCCAAATTCCAGCCCATTAACCTAACATCTCTTTTAAGAACAAGTTTATTTATGTTCTCTTGGCTTATAACAGGATTACTTTCATCACTGAAGATAATTCTTTCTTACCTTCTGGTAAAGGACAGTGAGCTGCTGAGGGTGAGCAAGTGAGCAGGAAGATGAAGGAGGTGCTCAGGGGCCTGGTACCTTTTCATGTTTGCTCTTAAACAATTTGGAGATATGAGGGCTATCCTATATTTTAATAGACCCATTCAAATTCACATTTAATCTTTAGTAATTGTATTTGGAGAACAAATCTCTCAGGGAGTTGGTTTAATTTATCATTTTTTTTGCCAGGCATACATAATATCCTTTTTATTCAGAACTGTATTGCTTATCTTCCTTGCCTGGCAGCTTGCTCAGATTGGCAGCATCTCCATTTCTTCTGTAGACATTTTGTAGTCAAAAGTGTATGTATTCTGGGAGCAAATATTATTTCAGTCTTGGAGCCTGTAGGCTGACTAACTTGTTTCTTGACTCACAGGGGACTTTTTAAAATTCACCTTTTCTTTAGGGAAGAGACACTAAGAAGCTGCAACCAACCAACCAGCATTGTGAAGTTACAGCTAATACCAAGTCCCTCGGGGTGCTTCTCTTTGTGGGAAGGGTTAGAGGAAAAATGTAAATATTTTTAGCCAGACTGCCATAAGGCAATTATCCTTCTCTGTTGTCTTTCAAAATGTTGCCTGGCTGACATTCAGGCAGTGCAGTGTAAACTGGTCAAGATTCTGATGTCTGCCTCAAAAAGGACAGGGTGAAACCCACACATGGAATGCTCACATGAAGCAACATTTTTGTCCCGAGGCTCCAGTTTGAAGTGCCCCATATCATGAGCTCATGTAAAATAGTGTAATAAATAAATAGTATAATCTGCTGCAGCACTTTCTCTAGGCTCAAAACCAATAGTTTCTGACAACTAGATGCTTCTTCTCTGCCTTTACTGTGAGAAAGAGCTAATTTTCCTGATGATTGGCTGAGTACCTGTTTATGCCAATATCCTGGGATTCCCGTATCCACCAGATATCCACAAAGATCCACCAGGTCCAGCAGCATGGCTTTCCCATTTAAAAGCAAAAGGAGAAATTGGTCTGTTTACCACTGACAGTCTTCTGTTTCCTAACTGGTGTTTTCACCATCATCTAGGTGGCCAGAGACAACCTCCTTATGGGACATCCTGGGTTCCTGTGGCATTGGGCATTCTCACAGCTCTGGTCACAGCTGTTGCCCTGGCTCTTATTCTCCTTCGAAAAAGAAGAAAGGAAACTCGGTTTGGGTAAGGGAGTTTCTTCTTGTGCTGCTTAGAGAGATCTCTGCTTTCTCTTCTATTGTGGTTTCTGACTCAATTATTTTTCAAAAAAGCATTGTGGATGGAGTACTTTTGGCAGTTTCTTTGGGTAACTGTATTGGTTGTTTATTTTGTTGGGATTTTTTGGGGGGGGTTGTTGTTACTGGGTTTTTTTCCATAGTTTTGGGGTGCCTGCCTTTTCTTCACAATGACAACACCAAAAGTACAGTAGAAAAAAAATTATGTTAATATCTAGGCCTTATTAGACTACAGAAATGTAAACTCTCTCAAGGTAATTTTTAGTACTGCTGCTTAAGAGATTCAAAGAGAAAAGATCCACAGATTAAATATCTGTATTCTTATGGGCTGAGCCCTTTATCCCATGCTGGTTTTCAGTCTATCAGCTGGTTGTAACTTCCTGACTGCCCAGAACCCTCTGGATCCCCAGTAAAGTTTCCTTTCCATCACCTCTGACACTTGGCTGGGGTTTGCTCCCTACTGCAAACAAGGTTCCCATTCTTTGCAGCCTCCCAGACCTCCCTGCCACAGCAGCATCTCTGTTCCTGTGAATCCTGCAACCTGCCCCAACCTGCAGCTTCTCCCAGGCACTTGGGAGGAGTGATTCCCCTGTTTTGGAAGGTTGTAGGTGCATCAGCAGAGCAGCATAAACCCATTGTTCCCCCTCTCCAGATACACCCACTTTAACAAAACAGTCCGCAGTATTTATAAGGCAAGGGTCGGGAAATCATCCGTACTGTTCAACACACCCTTTTAGAAGTGAATGGCCCATGTAGTCATGGTCCTGTGTGTCTTTTCTGCCTTCTAGCCATGCCTTTGGCAGTGTGGTTGGCAGAGGGGATCCAGCAGTCCATTTCAGAGCTGCCAGGTCTTTCAACAGGGAGGGCCCAGAGCTCATTGAAGCAACATGTAAGTAAAATGACCTGAGTGATTCTCAGTGCTTGGGAGACTGTGTTCATGCATTTACAATGCTCTCTCTGTTTTCTCTGAAACTGATGTTTCTTGATCAAAAACATGGGATTAGTTTACAATGAGTCTTAGACACTGTGAATTGCAGAGGTGAAAGGCCGGAATGGCTGTTGCCATACCAATTACACAGCCCTTGCTAATTACAGCTATAGTCATTATGTATATTAATGCAAGACATAAATTCACCACTCCCCTGCCCCAGTTACACTCTACAAGGACTCCTTCGACTGGAATATAATGCAGTGGTGAGATAAATATGGCTGAAAAATATTAGCAGGACTTTTTAAACTCAGTATGCTGAGCTGTGCTATGAGCATGAAGCAATTAATCAGTCTTGGAAAGCCAGGGACTTAGTAACTTTTCAAACAGGAGACTGAGTCCCAGGAATTGCCAGATGATCCATTAAGGCGATCCATTTCTGTCTCCTGGTTCAGGAAGGGCATGGCTCTCTGTGGCAGCACTGCAAAGCTGGGTTAGGATGATGCTCCAGACTGTCATTAAAATGGTGCAGCTCCATCAGCTTAAATTAAGCTGCATGAACCAGTCTTATCTGTTGCCCTTTGGATTGGATTTTGTCTTCTCAGCATTCTTTACATTATTTCTGTATTCCTGTTGTTCTTGGAGTGTTTAAGGGTGGTATTATCACGCCCTCTCCCTTTAAGTACTGTAAGTACATTTTCTGATGGTTGAAAGTTACCAGCTGCTTGTCTGTGGTGAGGCTAGAGGACATGGAAGGGAATTCTGCCTTTTTCAGGTTTTCCTGCTTACAGTGTGGGAATCAGATTAGAGATGGAGACTAGAACAGGTGACTCTTATGCTGTGACAGAATATTTAAATATCCCTTATTTGATGTTTCATATGTTTTGTTGTTTTGTTTTTTTCCAGTGGAGAGTGTAGGGATCAGTGATGAGTTGAAGACAAAACTAAAAGATGTCTTAATCCAGGAACAGCAGTTCACCCTGGGAAGAATGTTGGGCAAGGGTAAGAACCAAAACTGAACAAGGCTTTACATTGAAAATCCCACTTGTGTTATTTTAACTATTGAGTAGGGAGAAGCAATTACAAGCAGCCTGTTTTCTCTCCAGCTTGTGGATGGAAATTTAAATGGAACTATCCCTTCCGCTGGGATAAAACATTTCAGAGGTTTAGCATAACTAAGAGGATATTGGCTAAGCCATTCCTATAATATGTCTCTACACAATCATGAGCTGCAGTCTGTGCTCAGCTTTCCAAAGTAGTGTTAATTCACTGGTGTGTGAATTTCTTGCAGAGATTTAAACAGAGGAATATGCAATCGATCTTCACCTATTCCTTTTTCTTCATAAGACTAGTTTTATTGCAGGTTTTTTTGACCCTTTCCCACAGGGAGCATTCTTCCAGTCCATCCCTCCTAGAACAAATGCATTTCTTTCAGAGCAGGAAGATGACCTTCCTGCAAGAAGTGGTCTCAAAGGGCTTAACAATGCTAAGTAATTAAACAGCTGTGTCATCTGTTTGTGAGTGTTAGCTCGTGGCCAGGTTCTGGGATCCTACTTCAACCCTTTTGGGCTGCTCCCACGACAGGTAAACTGAAATTGGCTGCAGAGGGGCCCCAGGGCATGGCCTTGGTGTGGGGATGCCAGCTGGCAGGATCTGGTCTGTGTTGTCAGCCCCACTGCCACACCCCCAGGTTACAGGTTGTGAGATGACATAACTGCATTATCTTGGGCTCTGCTGATCTACAGCTGAGCAACAGCTCCATACTATGGAAGCAGCACAGAATACTTTGTTCCTTTCCATTTTCCTGATTTGTGGTCAGATCCACTGCTCATGGTTTTTGTGAAGTAAGCATGTGCCATAGAGTAGTGAAGAGCAGTGGTGAAAAGCTAGTGGGAAGATAATGCTTCTGGGGTAGGTGTCCTGAGGGCCATATTTTGCTTCCTTCTTTTCGGTATCAGAGTTCCTCATACTAATGCATTTTGGGTGGGACAAGCAGTTACCAAATTAGGGAGAGCAGGTCTAGAGCCAGATCTAATGCAAAGAGGCTGTTAGGCTGTGGTATAAATCCTCTTTAGGCTAAATATTTTGAAGAGGTTTTGGCCTGTTGCATTTCCTCTTAACTCTCTTTAGAGAACACGCCATGGCAAACACAGCCTTCTGTGAATGAACATATCACTCACACACATGTAGATACTCTGTTTTCTCTGGTCAGCTGTGATTCACAGAAGTTATTCTCTGAGTTTTGAGAGATAAGGCTGACTGTGTCTCCAATGGTTGAGTCCTGGAACTATTAGCTCTGATGGGTGTCAATATTAAGAGCTTCCTCAGCCAACCCATCCACTTGCTGCTCCAGCAAAGAGCCTCTTCTCTGAACAGAGCCTCACTCAGTCTCATCCCTCATGATATGGCTTCCCCAGAAATGTTTGCCCAGCTTAAACTCTGTCTATGCATCATCTGTCTGGTAAGGGATTGCTTTTTTCCCTTTTTGTTTTCATTCACTTTCTGGACTGCTAGCACAGTGAGCTCTGTCTACTGGTAGTGATATCTCTTCTAGACACACATGTGCTGAAAGCTGCTGTCTGGAGCTGCAGAATGCAAAATGAAACATTTCTTATGGGTACTCAGCTTCTTTGCCAGTGACCCCTGAAGTGAACCTGCTGTGAATCATACTTTCTTCACAATAAGTTGTTCCCTCACTGCCTACTCTGATAATTTTACAGGGGAGTTTGGGTCAGTTCGAGAGGCACTACTGAAGCTAGATGATGGCTCTTTCCAGAAAGTGGCAGTGAAGATGCTGAAAGGTATGTGGGAGCAGGGCTACCTGAATTACTTTAAGAAAGAGAGCTTGGAAAGATTAAATGTTGTCTGTCCTATTCTCAGCAAATATCCCCTGCTGCTCTTTATTTCTCTCTGAGCTTCCCACTCAGCCACTCTATACGTGTTGTCTCCCACCCCTTTCATGTCAGTCTTTTTGTAGTGGAAGTTCCTTCAGGAAATGACCTATACCACCTAATTGCTTCTACAGCACATAGCACGTGGTGAATGCAGTCAAAACCACTACATTATGTAGCACAAACAGCTCAGACAGGTCTGCTCTGCCCTAATAATTCAGCAATGAAAGAACAGTATTCCTGCAAGCACATAGCCTGGAATAAGCAGAAGAGTGTTTGGGCTGAATGCAGTGACAAGCTTACTCATCTCAGTCAGCACATTTGACTGAGCAGTCCAGCTCCCTTCTGATTTGTCATTTGGTGAGTGTACATAACAAAGGCAACTAACAGGCAGAAGTCTGTAACAAGAAAAGCAATTAAAGATAGGTATAAATCAAATATATGCATGTACGTGTGTTTATATATGTTACCCTATGCTATTTGATCCCTTTTGCCTGTAAGGCAAAAATTAACTGTGACTGAGAGCAGTCACACTCATCTCTGGAGCTCAGTTTGCTGTCACAGTATAATAGCTGGCACTAAATACACTTAGTGCCATTCTAGTGTAAGGTCTATCATTTTATCCAGTTTCAACAATAATTCTAATCAGTTTGCAAGCTTTTGTGTAGTCAGAATGTCTCCCTTCAGGCATCTAACTTAGGAACAATCTGTCAGCCTCCAGAGGCACCTTCCTTTCTTCATTGACTGTAAAAAGGGAATCTCCTTTTGTCTTCTGAATCATATTGAAATTACTTGCCTAAAGCAGATAATGTGAAAACTCCTCTACAGGTCTGAGTCTGATCTTGCAGCAGGACTGGAGGACTCTTGCTAAATTCAGCAGCAGCAGTGGTGGAAGGAGTCGACTGGGATACTTCTTGATTATATTGATGTATTTCTATAAATCTGGAGTCACAGCAATGAGGAATAATTTACTCCAAAATTTTTCTGATGTATGTCACTGCTGAATTTGGTCCAGGCTGTTCAGCAGTGTGGTTATTTAAGAAGTCTTAGCTCTAGCACTTTATAAAACTCAGTCACGCTAAGAGACATAAAAGCATTGATCTTTCATGCCATCCTTGTCAGAGATGAATTGAGCCCTGCTGTGCCAGTCAGGGGCTCCAAGCCATCTCCTCAGTTTCAACATTTTCTTTCATTTTTGTGATGTCTCCTCTCCCTGACATTTGTAGTTTAGGTTCTTTTACCTAGTTAATTCTTACATCTTTAACCCCCACACAGTTTGCAGAACTTCCCAGCAAAGTTCTTACTGAGAAAAGAGCTGGTAACCAGCAGTTCTTTACTCTGCCAAGAACCAATTTAGGAGATGTCCCTGATAAGTGCTTATTGCTGCCCATCCCAGGAGAGGTGTCAGGCTCTGCTTTGTTGTAAAATGGCTTATCTAGCTATAGGTCTGAGAAGACATGCTGTGCCACAAAGAACAAGCTTTTGACAATCGTTATTTGTAAAGTCCCTTGGAGCCACCTACAAAGAAAGCAAACTTACAAGTCGCTTTTTCCAGCGGACATCTTCACCTCAACTGACATTGAGGAGTTCCTGCGAGAGGCTGCCTGCATGAAGGAGTTTGACCACCCCCACGTCACCAAACTGATCGGTAAGACAGCGCTGCTGCTCGTGCCACAGAGCACCTGCTGTTCCTGCATGAGCCCACACAGCCTGACTCTCCCCAGCAGTGCTGGTGCAGCCTCCTCTGTGCTGCCTGGAGTCCTGCATAGGCCAGCACTGCTCCTTGCCAGGCCCCAGGGAGCTGGAGTGTAATGCTCCCCACACCTGCTCTCACACAGCAGCAACAACCATCTCCCATTTAAGATGTTTCTTTGGTTCTTGCAAATGCATCAGGGAGACTTTGTCTGGCTGAGGCATGTCCAAACTGCTGTGAAATATGAACAGGTGGGCAGGTAGACTGCAGATAGGAGGAGCATTGTGCCTTTCCAAAATACTGAGTAAGAAACAAGACATTCGTGGGTGGACACTTTGGAGTGCAGGTATTTTCCAGAATGTGGAGATTGCTCTGCAGAGCTTGGGGTTGGGGTTGGGGCTGTCTGGTCTGGAGTGATCCTAGAAACATTTATAGTTGGTCCTGCAAGAACAGCTGAGAGGCACTAGGCTCTTAGTACAGCCTCTGAAGTCAGCAGGGTTAGAGGCACCTTAATACCACCTGCTATAAAGGCACAGGAGCTTGGAGCATGGAATCTACCCACCAAAACTGCACATTTTCCTCCATATCTGTGAGAGGAAGGTGCAGCAGCCTGTAAGATTCCTTCTGAGAATAATCTGTTTGCTAACACCCCTTTGCTGTGTGTGTCCTCATCAGGAGTCAGCCTACGAAGCCGTCCCAAGGGCCGTCTCCCAATTCCCATGGTGATCCTGCCCTTCATGAAGCATGGAGACCTCCATGCTTTCCTGCTGATGTCACGGATTGGGGAAAACCCATTTGTAAGTCTGTCTTACTGTGAACTTCCTTCTGGGAGGGTAGGGATTTTCAGAGAACGTATTTGGAGCAGCTCGGGACACTGGCAGGTGGTTGGATTTTAGTACCAGAGGAGGTTGTGAGATGTGACCTTAAAGTATTTAATTCCATGCGTGTTGAGGACCAGCTCCTCCATTTCATCCCATCCCCTCCCTGTATTCCCCATCCCTGCTCTGTAAAGTGGCAGCAAACCTTGCAGTTTTGTCATATGTGCTTGAAAGCCTCCGGGAGCAGAACCTAAACTGTTATTTCTTACAGAACTTGCCTGTTCAGACACTCCTCAAGTTCATGATTGACATTGCCAGTGGGATGGAGTACTTGAGCTCAAAAAATTTCATACACAGGGACCTTGCAGCTCGGAACTGCATGTAAGTGATTCATGAGTTTCTAGAGAAAAGAAAGACCAGAGTGGTTGAGGGAGGGAGGGATGAAAAACCTACTGCATGACAGAAGTGTGAGGGGTCCTGTCTAAGAATGCTGATATTTGAATTTAAGTGACAAAAGACATAGGGGAGTCATGGCCATTGTGGTGGAGTCTGTGGTGGTGCTGCTGGGATCAGGGAGAAACTCCTAAAGTCCCACTGATCTTTGAAACAGACACTTTTTGTAAGGAACTTTCCCATCATTGGTCAGCACATAGGGTTTCATAGAGTTGATTACAATATGTGTTTGTAATTAGCCACTCCAGGCTGTGTGTCAGCATAGACTATTCATTCCACCATATAAAGTAACCAACAAGAGGGAATGGGTTTGGCTGGGTTAGGAGGAAAGAACTTCCATTGTACCGTGAAGTCTGTATTTCTGGTATCTATTCTGAGGACTTGATTATCACAATATAAGAACTGTAGTTTCCTTGAAAGCTTGTGGAGAATGCCTCTAAAAATAGTTGCATGGTGAACGCATTATATGATCCCACTTCACTGTTCTTGACACCAAGCTACCTTGACTGCTTTGGAGGAAAGAAAAGTCCTTTTTTTTATCCTTTCCACTCTGCTTCTTCCATGAGAATGGAATAAGGAACAACTCATTGTGACAACAGAATTCCGCAGCTGAACAAAACCACAACAACCAACAAAATCCACAATGAGACACAGATTCCCAAAGGCATTTCAATGTCCAGATGTACAGGCAAAGAGCCTGATAGTTACGATGAAAAATGATGGGTTAGCCTGCCTTGACATTTATGAGAAACCCATACTGATTTTCTATTTTTGTAGGCATCCTCCAGAGGAAGCTGAATGCCTATTTCAGCACATCTTCTGGGGAATGCAGTGAGTTCTTTCTGAGGCCTGGGAGCATGAAGTGTTTGTGGGCTTTACTTGGATTATCTGCCAACATGTATAGGTTTAAGTGGGTGACAGAGCAATTCAGACCATTAAGCAGGCATGGACAGGAGATGTTGCAGATCTAGGAGTTCAAGCAGTTTTAACAGGCAGTCTAGGCAATCATCCTATGATTTTTTTGATTACCAATGTGGGCTGCAAGCCTTGGTGATAGCAGTGAGTATTGCAGGTGTCCTCTGATAATCTGGAAACAGCAGAAGGTATCTGAGTTTGCTTTGTGTAGGAGACTAGACCATCTGAACCTAGCCACTTCCTTGTTTTATTAGTCATAATTAATTCCCTGTTAGTCTGAAGGAACTAGTTTGGACCACTAAGCTATTTCACATTGGTCACCAAGTAGATGAAATTGTTCTCCTTTTGTTTAATACTTAGTAAGCCGTGTACTTGAGTTCTCTGAATTTTGTTGGTTTTTTTTGTTTTTTGGTGGGTTTTTTTGCCTGAGGTAGACAATAAATGCTTTCCTTTCCTCAACTGTGAAAACTTTCCCATAGGTTGGATGAGAACATGAATGTGAGTGTTGCAGACTTTGGACTTTCTAAGAAAATCTACAGTGGAGACTACTACCGCCAGGGTTGTGCCTCCAAGCTGCCAGTGAAGTGGCTTGCTCTGGAAAGTCTGGCAGATAACCTGTACACAACACACAGCGATGTGGTGAGGTTTGCTCTGGTGCATTGGGGACCATTTGTATCCTGCTGAAGTGGAGGAATCCCACTGAGGGTGGGAGGAGCCCCTGATGACAGGAAAGGGAGTTTAGCTTGTGTTTGAAGGATGGTGCTACCTCTGCCTTGGGTGCTGTCAGAACTCAAGGCTAAAAATATATGAGAGTGGTTAATGGCAGAAGACATCAACCCTTTTCTTCTTCTTGTTCTTTCATCCTTTATTTTTCAGTGTTTATCCCCATCCCTTTTCTTCATCTTTCTGTTCCTCCTCTTCCTTTTCTTCTCTTTATGCAGTTTCTTCTCTCTTGCTCTTTTTCCTTTCTCTTCTGCCTGACAGTTTGAAGGTGACTTTTGAAATGCGTGTAATCCACACACTTACATGCAAGTGCAGCAAACATACTCTGTGCTGTGGAAGGCACTGCTGGAACTCCATAGATCTGAATACATCAGTGCTTAGACATTTCCCTTAACTTTGCCCCTGGGGAGCAAGGCTGAACACATCAATCTGAAATTGTTACTTATTTTCCTTTTGAGATTTTTTTTTTTTTATCTGACACCACCTTCCATCTTCCTTGCTGCCTTTTGATCTATTTTCACGCTAGTTTTGTCCTTCAGTCCTGTGGACTTGCCTTTCCAGTTATCCCTGTCACAATGTCCTTGAAGAGATAACCAAGAGTGCCTTGTAGTGTGGCTGCTGTGCTGCCCAGACATTGCTGCATCCACTGTAGACAGTGTTTAGTGATTGGTGAACACTAAACTGCTTACAACAGACATGGCACAGGGGTTTGCTTATGAAAATAATATTTTTTTTCACCTCGCAAACCTTGCAGTTTGGTTGAAAAGTACAAGTACAACTGTGCAGTGTAGAACAGAAATTAATGCGAGCCATAATGGTTTGTTCCTTGCCCTGCTTATTGGATAAACTCTGCTTTCATTTGTGCCTGTACATTAATAGAAACACAGAATCTGATTAGATTAATTAAGAAACTGATTTGTGAGCCCCAAACCAAAATCTTCTTCTAGCTGGGAACCAAAAAAGTGAACCAAAACTTCCCCTGCTCCACTGCAGGGGATGGGGCTGGGCAGGGCCTTCAGCTGTCTCCTCTCAGATGATGTGTCAGCATCAGCAGCATCTGGTGGGTCATTTCTGTTTTCTAGCTAGAGTTTGGATAGTCCTTGCATCACTGCTGCTCAGATGACATTACCCAGCAGAGTCTGAGATACTGAAACCAAGCCCAGCGAGCAGGGAACAGTTTGTTCACTTGTTCTGTGTGCTGTTCTCTTTCAGTGGGCGTTTGGGGTGACCATGTGGGAGATTGTGACCCGAGGGCAAACCCCTTATGCTGGCATTGAGAATGCAGAAATCTACAACTACCTCATCAGCGGGAACAGGCTGAAGCAGCCCCCAGAGTGCCTGGAAGATGTGTGAGTACTTCCTTACACTGCTGACATGATTTTTTTGAGAAATTTGGCTCTCTGGAAGGAAAGAGAGGCAGCTGGCTGGGACGCTGATCTGAATCTCTCCACTTTCCAGTACACAGAGCCATTCACTAGAAAGTCCCTGGGTTAGCTACTAGATACTCTTTGCTGGCAGAGCTCCCAGGAACCTGTGGTAACTACACAAGCAGCTAACTTGGCTCAATGGTTTCAACAGTGTCAACATTAGCAGTTCTTGGCTTTGTGGAAACTGTAATTGTGTTTCCAGAATCACTGAACCCTGCCTCCTCAGGCCAGCATCTGAGCAAAGGGATGAGTTCCATGGCACACCCTGAAGGCTGAATAGAGAGGCAGTCTAGTCAGACTACAAGGAAACTGGATTGCAGAGGCAGTGGCCTGCATGTGTCTTTCAAAACTTGGCCCAGTTTTCAAAATTTGATCTGCTGCTCTCAGAAATAGCAGGCTGAAAGAGAAGAGGGCAGATGGGACAAACGTAGGTTGTGTAGATCAGTGTCCCACCTTAAATTACATCTAGGAACACATCCAGGACAATCTTGAAGGTTCTGGTTGTAGACATTTTCAGACTTTCAGGAAGGACCTAGATAGTCCACAGGGCAGCAGGCAGCCACATGCTGCAGCCTTAATCCTGCTGCCAAGGGATCACTCTTGGCCAGCAGGTCACAGGAAATGTTTGCTCAGGAACCCTTCTTCCACGGGCGGTGGTTGGAGATTCCTGGTTTCCTCACATGGGGCTGGGAACCCCCAGGGAATGTCACCATAACTTCTCCCAGGGTAAAAGCTTGCCTTGCCTGGACAAGGTGAAATCATTTCACTGAGGGCTCAAGCAAGGCTCTGTTTTCTGTGTGTTGTGCCCAAAGCAAGATGTAACTATGAGCACTGATTTTAGTGGTCTAAGACCTCTTTCCTCCCTCTTTCCTCCAGTTCTGATGGTGGATTATTTCATGTAGCTGCTTTCTCCTTTTCCTTTTTTCTGCATAGGGAATAATCTGTACTCGTGTTACTAAAGCTGAACACTTTTATATTCTCAGCAGGTCATTTTAACTGAGTATAAATGAAAACAGTTACATCACTGCTTAAATTAACTACACATCTGCATCTTGACTTCTCTGAGTAGCTTTGGTTCCAAGTTGTGGAGCTTTTGGCTGTAGGATTTTAGGATGTAGAAAGTAGAGAAGAGTCTCAGAATCCTACTAAATAGGCACTGGAGGAAAATCCATCAAAAACTACTGAAAAGGTACAACCATTGTTTTGTGAGGTGCTTGAGCTACAGATTATTGAGACTTGAGAGAATAGACCAGAAAGATCTTGCTACATGCCCACCCTCAGCTTACATGCTTTCCTCAAGTGTTGCTACTGGACTCTGTCGGGCATAGGGTACAAATGGACTTTTGGGCTGATTCAGTACAGCCAGTATTTTTCTACCTTTCCTTCAAAAGGATTATGCTGATTGACAGCAAAGGTAAAAGAAAGTATTTAATGTGGTAGCACAGAATTGGAAGTTTCTGTTTTATCTGCAGCATTTATAATTATTTCTACTATTTGTGCTGGATGTAAATCAGGATTAAGACAACTGAACCATAGAAGCTTTCTGTAAAAGTAGTGTAAGATCAAAAACAGTAAATCTGATGGCAAGGAATACAAAAAGTAAAATCAAACCCATCATGAAATGCTTTATTCCCAGTAAAGGCCATATCAGATTTTTTTTTTCCATGTACAAGTTCAACTGAGGTTCATTTGTATGCAGTGTTTTTCAGTGCCAGCACTGTGCTTTGTTCCTGTTCCCTGCAAAACTGGCAACAATACCACCATAGGAATGCAGCTGCCCTTCTTGCGGGTGATGCACGAGGAGGAGCAGGACAATGGCTCTGGCTGTGCTCCAGCACCCCGGCGGGAGGGCAGCCAGCAGACACCGAGCTGCCAACACTGCCCCAGGGCAGGAGGGCTCCTCTTCCCTGGCCCGAGCATGGGCCAGCAGAGCCAGTGACTGTCTCCTCCCTGGGGCAGCCAGAGCTGAGGTAGCTGGCGTTTGACCATAGGAGGGAAGGCTGCAGGATGGGACCGGGGCCGGGTAATGGCCCTGAACATGTCTTCTGCAGCAGGGTGGTACCTTTGTAGTTGAAAGGCCATTTCAGCATCCCTCTTCCAGCACTGAAGCTGTTGTCCATTCTTTAACAGCCCCCTAAACAAACCCAGTGTGCCTTTTTCCAGGCCTGTTGACAAGCTGTCAGCAGCAACATCAGCACACTTCCTTTAATCTGGGAGGGCTGAGTTAACATGGCGTGAAAGAAAGAATGCTCTGGAAAAAACGTGCACCTCCCACAGTTTGATCTTTGTTTTCTTCCTGTGATTTATCTGCTCTTGAACCAGAATTCGGAGGGATGGCTTCAGCTGTGACAGAGGTTGTGAGGGTGGTTTTTGTGGATAAATTCAAAAGCTATTACCTGGTGATGTCACACTCACAGTCCTATTCTAGCTTCCTAGAGACAGTGGAACAAGGACTTTACCAAGAAATTCAATATACTTTGACAAGGCTTTTGGGGTTTTGATACCATCTAACTAACTTCTTTGACCAAAGGGGGAATGCCCTTGAAAATGGGAAGAAACTAGAAATTAGACCCATAATGGCCATCTATGCTGTGTCACCTGTGCAAGGCCAAAGCTGACAGGTTCTGTGGGAAGTGTCAGTGTTTTTTAAAGTTCACTGCTCAGAGCCCCTGTTCAGAGGTGCAGGGCATGGCTGCTCCCCTTCTCAGTGTTCTTGTCTCGCTCTGTTTTGCAGCTATGATCTCATGTGCAGATGTTGGCATCCTGAGCCCAAGCTACGCCCCAGCTTTGGAGTGCTCCGCTCCCAGCTGGAAATGATTCGCGGGAGGATGTCCACACTCTCTTCCAGTCAAGATCCTCTCTATGTCAACATTGGGAAGGACAAAGAGGCGTCTGCAAGTGACCCTGTCCTGCACGCCTCCTTTGGAAATATGGATGCTGAAGAGACTGTTGCTGGGGCAGCTGCTGCTGTCACAAGTGACTATCGCTACATCATGAGCCCTTTGTGCCTTGGAGATGATGCTGAGGGTGAAAGGCATCCAGATGGACAAGAAGGGGAGGACAAAAGCCTTCTGTATGAGCTAGAGACAGAAGGAGAGAAAAGTTGCTAGCCTGTACATAGCAGTGACACTCTGCTTCCCTGAGGCTGGATATGTGCAGCATGGTGCTGTGTCTCCTGGGGCTCTGATGCCAGATCTGGAATGGCTTTGAACAGCACTGTCCAGGGCTCTTGGGCAGCTTTTGTAGCTTTCACCACCTGTGTGGGCTGCAGTGGCAAATAGCTTGGAAGAACTGCAACCCCAACGACCCCTTATATCTTGGGGAGGGAGGACAGTAGGGTTACAGGTTGACCACATCCTGCTGAAAGGAGTTCAGAGCTAAGGTGGCAGTCAGAGTCTGTGCTCTGCTTCTTCTCACTGAATGCTGGAGCAGAGCTGAATACACCTTCTGTTCAGTGAGTGCTTGCTCTTGTGTAGATGTTGTCTTCAATCCTGGCTGCGTGACTTTGGGACTGGTACCTCTGAAAACACTAGTGGGTATTTATATTATCATTCAGGACAAGAGGGCAAAATTCCCCTCGTGTTCACTCAGCAGTACTGCCTAGACTCGTTGCCTACCTCAGTGGTTCTCAAACTGATCAGCGGATCTGCTCCTTCCCAGCACTGAATTTGAACATCTGGTTCATTTCATGCAGTGACATTTGCTGCTTCCTCAGTCCAGGGCTCATTTAAGAGTTTCAGACATTTTGGTGAGCAAGGAAATTAGAAAAAAAAAATGAAAATCCAGCATTCCTCTTCTCCCCATGTACCTTTTTTTATGTCTTTCTTTTTCTTCTGTTCGATGCCAATTCAGGCCTGACTAGACTTGCAGCTGACATTAAAATGCAAAGGGAGGGAGAGCAGCTGGCTTGTGTGAGGGCAGAACCCAACTTCAAAGGAATGGAAAGGAAGCAGTGTAGAGAGGACTTAACAGCAGTATGGGGAAACAGTGCTAATTAATGCTAAGTGCTGCCCTGCAGGAGAGGAAGAAGACTGAGATACAGAATGACAGACTTGCTCAGTTTCAGCAGGAGCAGGATACAGCACTTGCTTCCAAGTTGGATTCTTTCAATCATTCTCTTTATTAGTCCTATATCTTCTTCAAATGACCAAGAACTGCAGCTGCTATAGTGACATGTGAAATCAGTTTCAGGAGGTTGTGTCTTGGGGGGAGGGATCAACTGGAAGATCTCTTTCTGAAGAGAGAGGCCTCATGATGAAAAACTCGAGAACCACTGGCCTTCCTATTTAGGAGGTTTTCTGGCATGCTCTAAAAGCCACATAAAACGTGGAATAGTATCACTGCAGCCTTCCAGACAGGGCAAAATTAAAGGTTTTGCTCTTTGGGTTTTGTTTTGTTTTCCAATCAGCATGTCTGACTCACTGTAACTGCAAGTGCTTGTGTGGTTTTTTAATAATTTAATATTTTACTGTAAATCAGCATTTGTTTTGTGCAGTGGTTCCCAGCAAGGAAGTGCAGTTACATCTTACTCTACTTATCCTAAATATTTGCTAGATCTTAATTTCTTTTATTTTAACTGCGCTGAAAACTTGGCAGTATTACTTAGGATTCCACATCGCACTTCTTCAAACTAATACCACAAATGTCAGCATTTACTGAGTTGGCAAAGGTGGGACCAAAAAGTCAAATAAGATTGCAGACTTGGTATCAGAACACTCCACCCTTCGATACCCAGTGTTTGCTTATTGTAAGGTCGGGGTCTAAATATAAAATTCAGGTCAAGTTTCAGCCCTTAGTGGGAACTCTTCCTAGGGAAGGGGAATTTCAGCCTGGGACCTGAGCATGGGTCCTTTCTGTTAAGTTTCCTACTGAACAGAGATGTCCTACAGGTGTCTCCAGAAATTCAGTATGGTTTCTCAGTCACAGATACAAATTCTGCCATCTTTCACCCCAGGTGGTACAGGGTTTTCTCTTCACTTAGCTGGAATGCTGTAAATGCAGATGAGAAGATAACACCTAACAAAGGGTAACAAAAACCTGTGCAGTGCACTTTTGCAGTGAGGGCAGAAGGCTACACTCCCTGCAGCTGCCTAGGAAGTGCAGATGTACATATAGACTCTAACTCTGGGAAGCATGTCTTTAGTTTTTATGCATTTTTTAATAATAAAACCTGTACTGTGTTTGAGTTCCGGCCTCTTAACTGTGGCAGAACGTGTGGTGATGCTCACTAACTGTGTGGGGTCATAGTCAGCCCCAGCTGACAGTCATCTTTCTTCCTTCACCAAGCACAATTGAGCTACTTCTTGGGGCAGAGAACATGTTTGGCCTGTCCAGGTCACAGTTACTCTGCATTGCTCCAGCCTTGAGATTGTGAAGGCCAAAATCTGATGGGCAGGGGCTAGTGGTTCCACAGAGCGAGGTTCTGCGGCCAGCACTTCGCAGGAACAGGGGAAAAGCCCTTCCTGAGATGTAGTGCTTCCTACCCAGGAATGCAAGACCTTTGTGTCAGTTCCTCCCTGAAAATTGTCACATGCACCCATCCAACTCCTGGCAGTGCTCTTAGTGGAAAAGATGTTTGGAGGAGGTAGGTAAAATTCAGCTCCTGACTCAGATGTTCCAAGCACAGCATAAAAGAGCCCCTGGATTTCCAACTTGCAGAGAAGAAAAGGTGTACCTCACGCTTTTATTCTTCACAAGCAAACAGCATGCTGCACGCCCTCTGCCTGCAGCTCACACAGAGAGGAAGAGTGATGGGAAACGGCACAACCACTCACCCCCCATCTGCAATGCAGGAAAAACGACTTCCAAAGCATGAAGCAGCTGAATTAGTTGATATTTTGAGGTTCCAGTGCCCAGTGATGTCCCTTAGATCTGGTTCAAATGATGAGTTAATCCTTTTGCATAAAAGCCTGGACAGACCAGGTACAAGAGAGGATGTGTTGTGGGTGGGAGAGGCAACACCAGAAGAAGAACTAGTGAAAAAAAGAGGGAGGAAAAGAGATTTTAAAATGGGGACAGATGGGATGAGCTGTCAAGAGGGAGTCAGAAAGCAGAAACATGAAATTTTATATATGGCATACCAGAACAGAGATGGCATTGCCTCAGCTGGAACCAAGCAGGTGTCTGAGTGGGGGCTGGCTGTGTGTTTTGGTAAAGGATGAGGTGCTCTCTCTGGTCCAGCCCAGGTGCCCTGCAGTGTTTTGCTCTCAAATCACAAAGAGTCTGTACAGAGCTGGCCTGGCCCTGCATCTGCTTGGAGACAGCACTGTGATCCTGACCCCAGGGAAGCTCCAGCCTAACAGCTCTGATTTTGGCACCAGCCTGGCACACTGTTTTCCTAATTAAACAAAATGTTTCTCCCACAGCCACTCCTTTTTCCACCACCTCAGCAGAACAGTGCAGTCCCTCCCATCTTCCCAAGCAGCAGCCCTTTCCCAGTCTACTGGGGCAGTGGGGTGTCCAACATCTGCACGTTTATGCTGAAGCAACTTCTGTCCCATACGGGTAAGCCTGACCACACTCCTTCATCCACATCTCCCTGAGGATGAGACAGGGTCTCCTTCCTTTTAACAGAGGCTCAAGCCACTTGGGGAAGTTGCCAGCTAAGTTGTGAGGCAGCATAACCCCGCAGCACGTAGCAAGAGCACAGCAGAAGCTCACAGCACTGCCTGTGTTGTATAGGAGTAGCTAGTGCAGGGGGAGACATGCCCCTGTCACCTCCAGTGCCAGGGCTGGCTGCAGTCACAGCCTCTGACTGGGCTGTGCTGGCAGCTCAGCCTACAGATACGGGGATGCTCCAGCCTGATCCGGTACCTGACCATGTGGGGAACGGTGTGTTCAGGGCTGACAGCTCAGCAGATGCTTGCAGTGAGTGCATGGATGTACCTTGGAGCTACTGCACAGCTACCCTGGAACCAGCCACCTTCCTTCTTGACTTGTGTTTGGAGGGAAGTGTTGAAGCCTTGATTCTGTAAAAACACTTCCTAGAAGTGAAATGCAATTAATTTTGAGTAAAAATCTAAGTTTCGCTGACCAGTGAAGGGAACAATATTTGCACATAAATATTTTCCTGATTTACATCCTGTACATTGCTGGCAGTGTTCATCCTTCCCTGATGCTCAACAATCACCAACTTTTGCAAATCATCTTCTACCAGGGATTTCTGTGAGGAACCCTCATAGACAGTCCTAATTTTATACTGATTTGTTATTTCACACCTGCTGTGCTCCCTTAAAATAGCAAGTTGTCCTACAAGCACTGGATTCCTATGGATTTGGATCCAGTGGGTGATTGCAGCCTCTTGATGAAGCTTGCCCCTAGTTAAGGTTCTTACAAGACCTTTTCCCTTGGTGGAGTCTCTGGTATCCAATACTCACTGAATTTCCATCTGCAGTGAAGGTACTGATGTGGAAATAATAGGGTCTGCCACATGCGGACTTTTTTCAGAAAACTTGTAGGACCTTAATTATCCTTCAGACCTCAATCTTGCCATCGCATTTGGCTGAAATAAAGCAGTGGATTCAAGAGCTATTAGGGCCAACACGTGCAGCTGGTGATCAGAGAGCCTTGTTACCATGGGAAACAGAGCTAGAAATCAATTACTTAGTCCAAGAATAGAAAAGACCGATGGACATGGGTTTTGATTGCATTTTCTGTCATATAAAAGGAATTCAGTGTCAGTATGAATCAGACCTCAGTCACTGCGTCGAGGTCTAGCAACAACAAAGATGATTGACTCTTCGCTTCCTAATTACTCCATGGATCCTCCAGCTTGAGGCATGCCAAGCCAAGTCACTCCCAACTGCAGTTAGGTGAAATGGAACATCTTTTTGTTATGTTTGACAGTAGGACTGAAATTAGGGAACAGGTATCTCAGCAGTACAGAAGGTATCTAAGCAGCTTTTGTTTCCTCCAGTTTCTTTTCACTGCTTGAAATAGAACTGAAAGAAATGTGAGACCCCAGGAAACAGATGGCACTTGTTGATTTAAGTTTTGTTCAGTTCAGTATAGATTTTATAGAACTGGACTGGTTTCCAGAAGAGTCTTTATAGGAGCTGGCTCTTGCCAGCATGTGGTGTAAGGAAGCACAAATTCGTGACAAGGAAAGAGGGCTGGCATGCATAAATGATCCAGCTGGAGTACAGGAGATTGCAGCACATGCTGGTAAATGTACAGTGCCAGTAAAGGTGACAGAAAGGGGGAGCTGACACAAACGGTGGGTCATTGCAGGGAAGCAGACTGTACACTGCAACATGGCAGTTACTGCAGCAAATTCAGAAGGTCTCTGCTTTCTTAGTTAATATATAGTTATTAATATAACACAATGATCCTGGCTGCTACCCTGTCATTACCTGAGCTGTGTGGGAGATTGCTGCTGCCTCTCTACTTTGGCCAATGAGTGCCTCTGTGACAGCGACTTCTGCTTGTGTGACACGGCGCTAGCCAGAGCAGAGAGCCCTTAGGTCACTCGCTGCTGCCTCTCGCTGTTTCTTCTTATTAAATTACTTTTAAAGAAGCTAAAAGCCCCCAAGGTTCACATTACTAGATGATGTAAAGCAGCTTGCCTCCCCAACACGAGGCAAGGTTCAGAGCTAATTAATACATTTCCTGGTATTATTTGTCTACAGAATCCCTCTTCTTACGCAGAGATACACAAAGAGAAAGAGGAGCAGAAATACTGCGCAGGCATGTGGCAGAGCATATGAGGAGGGACTGAGCTTTAACAGCCTTTTGCTGACCATGAACCTTGTACCCGAGCTGCAGGGTGGAAGGGCAAAGGAAGATGGAGACTTGGGGCTTATGCAGGGGACCCAAACTGCATTCCAGAAAGAAGCAGACACTTAGCTGTTGCCAGTACCTCTGCAAAGTAAAAAAACCTGTGTCAAATCTGAACCTCAAGGCTTAGCGTGTCATCAGACACCTGGGGCAGTTTAAGACCCTCTCCCTAATATTTGCTCCCTCTCTGCTGTAGCTGGGGACCCCATCAGGCAGGGCCAGCAGTGCAGGTGCTGCTGAGGGTAGTGAAGATGTAGCTGGGGATGCGCAGAAAAGGATGAAGCACAGGCACATGTTTCTACCAGCACTGCTGAGGGGGTGGAAATCTCTGGCAGAGCAAACAGCCGGTGACTTCTCACACTCCCTCCCCCCTGTCTGATTCACTCCAGCTTGTCTGCCAACACTCCCAATTACGGCAATGCCCTTCCATTGAAGCTGATACGCTGGGCTGTACCTGAGGGAATGATCAGGCTCACTGTGTGAAATCTTTCCCATATTTTCCACCTATTGATGAAGTCTCCCTGGGTCACCACTGAAACTGATCACAGCTGCTGCCCTACCGGCCAGAGGCTTTTTCTGCAGGCATCATCAGGCAAGGATCCAAATGAAAGAGGCTGAACCTATTAATTTATGGCAGAAATTAGCACGGCTCAGTATTTCTCTGTTTCCTTTCTTAATATACTCTGCAAAAAATATTGCCAGTCTGCTGAGGTCTGTCAAGCTGTAGGGGAGGGAGCTGCAGTGCTGGAACTAAAGTCACAGTTGGCTCAGGGAGTTCTTTGGGGGATTTATGTTCACACACTTGACCATTGTAATCTCAGTGGAACAAACCTCATTTCAGAGGCCTCCTGCACTGCAGGTCTGAACCACCCACTGCTGATAGTGGTGCAAATTTGTGAGAAAGGCACTGAGATCATCAGAGCTTGATTTCTGGCATGAAAATAGCACAGCTGAGGGAAGGATATGGTATGTAACCTGGAAATGCACCCAGTCTGCCTATATACCATGCCCTGACCTCTCCTGGGTGAAGATGATCTGCTGGGATGACGTTGTTTTTCCTCCTTGAGCCCATTCAGCTGCTGAAGCATTATGTAGCACTGCTGAGCCCTGATGCTGATCCCACAGCAGGGGCACTGCGCTGCAGCTCACGGAAGTCCAGGGGATGATGCCGTCACAAGGCTGGCAAGAATTCAACATCGTGCTTTACAGCTTGCATGTTTATCAGAAACCTGTGAATGTAGAAAACAGGCACTTTCCTTTGTTCCAGGAAGGCTCTAAAATTTTATGAGAAAAAATTAATGGATTTATTTTCTCAGTAAACATCTCACTGATCATCACTGACACAGAATTTGGCAAATAAAGAAAAAGCTGTTCTTAGCACAACATCAGTGCAAATGGGGATTAAATCTTAAAGAAGACAAGGCT